GGGGGGGGGGGGGGGGGGGGGGGTTTACCCCTTGCTGGCCCACGGTCTATGAATTTGATTTTGCAGAAAAAATATGACAAATGCTTCTATCCTCACATTTTTAAAATTCAACACGTTTCGTAGGTTTAGACCGGAACATGAGGTACGTTAGGCTGGTTCAAAAGGGGATATTTGTATAAAATACAATGTTACTTATCAGCGGGCATCAGAAATTTTCAAGCTTGAACATGTTTTAGCTATTTTACCTTTATTGCAGATTTCGCCATTTTCGGACATATTTTGATTTCTCTCAAGAAAATTTAATCCGTCTGAATGCTATGTGTCTGAAAACTTTTTACAAGTGCTGAAACTTGAAATCCGTATTTTAGAGGCTCGTTCAAACACAAATGAGGATCAACGCTGCTGTTCTGCCAACGTTGCTAAGTTTTATGATATTCGTCTTTTTTACTATTATTTGCTATTTTCCTCAATTTTCCCAGTAAACAGTCACACGGTGGCAGATCTTAGTATTATCAGGAAGTAAAAATACGTGGCATTCATCGTTTTCGGATTGGATGGAACAAATCCAGAGAGCATCGCGGTCCATTTTCGGAAGTTGACCAGAGTGGATCACCTTAGCGCATGATGCCTTGCGTGGCGCACCAGCGCCAATGAATCCACTCTGTCGTGAACCCCCCCCCCCCCCTGGGNGGATGTATGTGTGATTTTCTCATTTACAATAGGTGGCTCCTCTAGGTACTTCCTTCAGTAAAAGTAATTTTTTTTTTCATTTAGGTGCATTTTAAAACCAACAAATGAAATACCATGGATCGGCTCATTTTTGCCTTATTTAAATCAATGTAATTCTTTTGGAGATTTTCAGCCTCACGGCGGCATGTGTTAATATTATCGGAGAACAAATATATTTGGCAGGTATCATATTTGGATGGTAAGGAACAAATTTAGGGGGTGCCTCGGTTCATAGGGCGAAAAAAAAAATTCAAATGTTAACTTGGACCACCCTAGAGGTACGTATTTAAGCACTCTGATACATGCTCCATGATCAAAATTTCACCGAGGACACCATTCACGCAACGAAAATTACTGAACTTAACTCCTAACCAAGTTAGTAAAGTTCTTTGATGCATAAATTAAAACTTCCTGCTCATAGAAAAACAACAATCTAATCGAGTTTTATCACACACTAGATGTTACTGTAACAGTCTCTGCAGTATGAAAATATTGTAACTTCAATCTTGACGTTTCCGTTCGGCTATTGCACGTTATTTACATTTTAAACAACAAACATGCCTCATTGAGAAGCCTGCCGAAATCGTTGTAAAGAGCGATTTGACAGACAGAAAGTATTATTGATCTTGTGACTAGAAAATTCAAATTCTCCGTAACCAATTACAAAAAAACGTTAATATCCTAGTTCGGAGTTGATTCCAATAATTTTCGTTGCGCAAATTGCGTTCGACATGAAACTTTGATTGGTGATCATGTATCAGAAGGTTTCGATTCATAACTTGTCAACTGGTCTGCTGAAAAATAGTCTTAGAGGGAAAAAGCCCTTCGAATCCCAAACTTGCTGGTATTTGCACTTCAATACGTCATATGTAATTCCATTGCTGGTGAAGTAGTAGAAATGTTGAAGAATTAGAATTCATGCCTTTGACGACAAAATTTTTCACAGTTCAATTGATCATATCAACCCAAAAGCCAGCTTTCAGATATCTCTGGAGTACTGACATTTTTAACAGAGCTACAATAAATTAGCATGACTAGAAGAATCACCATCTTTTTGTCTGGGGCAGAAACATAGTCTGGATTTCTCAAAGGATCTTCTGCTGCGCAAATGCTTTTCCGTCGCAGCTTATTATTACCTGAAAAGAATTGATAGATAAAATTAGAGATAATAGGAAATAAAGACAGAACAAGAGAAGATTTATTACGGCAAAATTATGATCCCCGTAATGGAACAGGGACTCTACCTGTTCCAGGGTTGGCGATGCTGTGGCCCTAGTCATAGCTGCCCATGCTCTTTTTTTCTTTTATGAGATTCTGAGTTTGATCTGCCCTAACCCAACCCGAGATGTCGTGCGTACCGTGCATATCGGATCCCTTGGCACAGGGTTTAGTAGTGTCTTTTAACAGTGACCAAGGATACAGGGCGTCCTCCAAGTGTACGTAGCCTTACCTGGTAGGGGGCTCTGCCGGGCTCAGTCTCTTAACTTAATTTTTTCGTGGATATGGAGTTAAACACCGGTTCTAAAACCCAAAAACCAAGTAACACCCCAGAGGAGGAAAAGCTTTGTTCGAATTTGCTTGAAGTGTTTCCCTTGGTCAATCTCTGGTCAAGCTGGTCAAGATATTTGACCGATTCTGCCACCCCTATTTCTTTCTCAACGATTGTTGGAGGTTTAGGTTCTAGTTCACACTTTCTAGTGAATGGCACGAGAGTGGCCTTCAAAGGATTTATGCTTAGGCCCTTACCCCTACACGATTTTTTTACTTCCCTCAAGGCCAAATTGAGAAGATCCCTCGAGTACACTAACATGTTCTTCTCTAACCACAATGACAAAATCATCAGAGTAGCTTTCAGCATGGCATACAGCTTTATTCAGGATAAGAAGTTCGTCCGCAACTAAGTTCCATATTCTAGGGGAGAGAACTCCGCCCCTAGCAAATCCCTTAGTTGCTAACATTTCCGTCCTCTCTCTAAAGAATTCTGCTGTTATGATCTTGCTACGTAGCAAAGACTTAACCCTCTTTCCAGTGGTTTAGTCAAGGTCTCTTACACGATCAGGCTCTATTATTGCCCTAGTTAATGTAGTATCAAAGGCGCTCTCAATGTCAATGAAGACTGCAATAGCAATTTTTTTATGTTCCAAGGCTGGTTCTACCCTCTCAATTGAAATCCGTTGACAGTATCTGTTGATTTTCCTGCCTGATAAGCAAACTGGTATGTGTATATGTGTCAGCCTGTGAGTCCATGCTGGCTTTATTAACAGCAGTATTGCCTGCTGAGTTATCTAAGATTGCTCCTTGATCACTCCTTTAACTGGACAGTCTATAAGTATCACCGCCTCTTTAATGCTCCTAAGAGCGTCACTGAACATAGTGTATGCAACTTCTACCTTTCCTCAATGGCGGCCTGACAGACTCAAGTATGCTTGTATCTAACCTGACCCGCTTATGAGAATGAGCTTGATTCGCTCCTGAGTCTTGGTCTCGGCTCCTTTTTTGAGCTCTCTTGGTCTGTTGTCGGTTAACAGCTCTCTTTCCACTCTTTCGAGGGTGTTAAGATTTGTGATCCTTTTCTTTTGCCTAGGAATGCTCGTCACTTTTGGGGGCAGAACTTCCCAAGATACCCTTTTGTTCTGGTTTTTTGCCTTCCGTTCAGCTTCTTTCTTTTTTCCTCTTTCGTATCTGAATTGACGACTGAAATGAACAATACAGGAGCTAGTCGGTTAACCGCTAGAGAGCTCTTTCACTCTCCTCGCTGGAAAAGGTTCACCACTCGCCCACCAAGAGCGCCACCTCCTTAGCTCGTATCGTATTGTCATGTCCCCGTGTGAACAAATAACAACAACAAATGTGAACCATGATAAACAAATGAGCTTTCGGGTAATCATTAATCATTAAAGAGGTACACACATCTCCCATAAGAATTGGGCCCAGAACGGAATCTTGTCATGCCTTCACCTTTTGTAAAAGAAGGTTACAGAAGTTCAAAAATGGCGGAGTTTTTGATCCAGCCTCCCGAGGGGAGGGGGACGGGGGGGGTCTAAAAAAATTAACTTTTGTCATAACTTTTGAACCGTTGCAAATATCGAGTTGAACTTTTTTCAAATGAAAGAGCATAAAAAGACCCTTCTATCGAGTATAAGAACTTGACAATCGGGTAATTTTTGGTAAAGTTATGGCTCATCTTAATTTCGGATTTTTCAAATTTTCGACGTGAGGGGCCGCACAAAATGTTATGAATATGTGTGCGAAAGATAGTCCCTGTTTTTTTCTTTAAAATGAGCTGAAAAGGATGTTGGGGAAATGATTAGTTTCGGAGTTATGCTTTTTCAAAGTTGACGCGACAGGGTCCATACATGGGCCTCGGGCCAGAGTCCTGCAGCTGCGCCCAGGAGCACCCTGTTTCACGCTGATCTTCGTAATTGTTTAACATTTTACAGCAGTTTGACCATGTAGTAAACATACATATAAGGATGAATATGCCATACATAATTTCCCTTCCCCCTTTTTTTATTTCATCTAAACCAAACTGGAATTTGGAAATGGCACAGTGGTGGATCCAGAGTGAGTTGGAGGGGGGCTGGTTCATAAGTACCTAAATCCCTCTAATGAACTAGAAATCACAAAATCGGTTAAGGATTTCTACTGTTTACTTTACCAAAATGATAATTTATGGTCCTGGGTTCTCAAGCCCTCAAATATTTATCACTCCTGTAAATAGTTGCACTTCTCATGCAAATTTTTAATGTGTTACCAGATCACTATAGATTCTGCTGGCATGGCTCGCCATCAATCAGGGTCAGTGTTCTTATAATTTCCCTATTTAACATGAAAAGCAGTGATTGGTCACAGGTTTGCATGTTGTCTTTTCCGGCTCAGATACTGTTGATTCTTCTTTCTGACCTGCTTATAGAGTTATTATACTTTTTGTTACCCAGCCTTGAATTACATACAATTTGTTCTGCACTACCTTCTGGAAACAGGCTCCAATGATAGTCGTTTCCATCGACATTGAGGGTTTCAAAGTTTCAAGACCGCAAAATCGGTCAGGGATCTCTAATGAATTTTTCGCTTCAATTATGAGTTCCGCACCAAATGCAACTAGCTTGGACCTTTTCATACACAAGCTGCACGGAACCGATTGTTTTATACTGAGGAGAGCATTTGGCATTTACTTTTTCCTTCATAAATACGGGATGACGTAAGCGTTACTCTTGCGTTTGCAGAAACTTCTTTATCAAGAAGACCGTGAGACCCTTTACCGCATCAATCTCCGAAGGGGATTACTCCAATATTCTACGTATTTAAATCATTTGAACGATTTATCTGTTCTTCTCTCCTCTCCTTCCGTCCATGGATATAGGTCTACAATTTTTCGGATTTACTGACGTGGCTCGATGCTCTCAGTGGATTGCAGTGCATTTTTATTCCTGATATCTGCCTCAAGTTGGTTGCAATTTCACCAGTTGACCCATATTTCCAGAACTACATGTTAGGCTCTTCCAATTAACTTTGCTGCATCTTAATCATGGAATTTTTTTTTTCTCAGTGACCTTACTTCTTGCTTCGGATGGTATGTAGGCTATTACAAGTATTAATTTCCTTTACTTTTATCTCCTTTATTTAGTTGTAAGATGCTGCTGGACTAATAGATGGATTTTTAACAGACATGTTAGGTCCGGTCAAAGGAGCGAATTATTGCATCTCAAAATTATTAGTGGAATTGTTAAAGTGCAGGAGAGCTGAGTCTCCTCACGGAATGGGTGAGTCCCACTTAAGACAACCAGTTTTTTCAAACATATAGATACAGTTTCGACACAATGAAAGTCACACCCATTCTGTGATGTACATATTTTTCTTAGACTGTTATTTTATCTCGGTAATCTACCTGTGCATACGCATCGAGCCACAGCAGGTCGCGTCAATAAATCCGAAAATTGTGGACCTCTGTCCATGGACGGAAGGAGAGGAGAGAAGAACAGATGAATCTTTCAAATTATTAAAGTGCGTGAAATTCTGGAGTGGTCCCGTTCGGAGATGGACGCAGTATAAGCTCTCGCGCTCTCCTTGGTGAGAAGGTTTTTGCAAATGCAAGAGTAACGCTTATGGCGTCCCGTATTTATGAAGGAAAAGTACATGCTCCCGCTCACCTCAGTAAAAAGAAATCAGTTCCGTAAGGCTCGTGTATGGAAAGATCCAAGCCAGTCGCACTTGGTGCGGAATTCATAATTGAGAGGAAAAATTCATTAGAGATCCACTTCAGATCCTTCTGATTTCCAGTTCATTCGAAGGATTCAGATACTTATGAACCACAAAATCGGTTTTTCGTTTTTTTTTCCGTTTTCTTTTTATTGAGGGAATAATTTTTTTTAATTTTCTTTTAGTTTCTTCTGAACTCGAGAGTAGGTTTTGGACATTTTTGGTCTTGGTGGACTATGAGACTTCAAAGAGAGGTTTCTGCTTACCTCAAAGATAGTTTTATCTAGGTGGGGTAAAAGCGTAAGTTTTCGGTTAAGATGTAACACGTCAATTTTCTTGACAGAATTTTTTACCCAAAAATTGTTTCTGAAAGTTTTGGTAGTCTAAATTAGCTCGTTTTTGGATGAATAAAGGTGTGGCTATAAAATATTACTAGCCAGGAGCCTCCACCCCCTGGCCCCCGGTCACTAGCGCCCACACGGCTAGCGAGCCTCATCAGTCATTTCAGGCGCGAAGCGCACCCCAAATTGCTTGCCGAGGTCTGCCCATACTGTTGCATGACATCACGCGGGGGTATTTATACCCATTAGTTACTGGCTCTGAATGTTCCAGAGCCTTCTAGAATACTCTATGGCACAACAATCGATTTTTGAGAACGTTCGAGAATCGATTTTTGAAGAAGTTCGAGAATAGATTTTTCGAGGACGTTCGCTTTTCAATTCTTCATGAGTTCGAAAGCGATCGCAGCATTCAATCAAGCGGAGGTGCACAGCGCTGCGCTCTCAACCAGTCGAGAATCTATACTGGCTGAACCAAAGACATAAAGACGGAGTGCTCGTGTCCAAGAGCACGGGGAAGAAGTGAAGCCATTCTGGCGATGTGAATCCATGCGCGGGAAATTTTAAATGCCTAAAACGAACAGATAAATACAGTGGGGATAGTGCATTTTTGTAAAAAACCTACTTTGGCTTGGTAACAAGCAGGAATTTTACAAGAATCTTAGATAAAGTTGCTGAAAATCTATGCGCGGGAAACGAAATTTGATTTGAATTTGTCCTCTTGATTTTTCCACATTTCTTCTTCTAATCTCGTTTTATTTGCCTAAAACAAACAAATGAATACAGTTGGGATTGTGAATTTTTATAATAAACCTATTTTGGATTGGTAAAAAGGAGGAATCTTACAGGAATTTTACAGATAAAGTTAGCTTTTCCGCTGCTTTAACTAATAGGAGAGGTGGTTTCATTTTCTTCTTCTAGCGCTCCGTCTTTAGGTCTTTGGGTTGAACTCACTCGGCAACGTGGATGCGGAAAGCAGCCAAGGAGTGGGAGATGTGTGTGGCGCGGTGCAGGGGGAAGGCAGGCGGGTAGGGAGGAGCCTGCCACTGGGAGTAAAGAGCGGTCGGTGGGCCTGCACAGTGCGGGGGAGGAGGTTGCTACTGGGAGCAGAGAGCGGTCGGTGCGGTGGGCCTGCCCTGCGCGTCGCGCGAGGGGAGGAATTCCTGGTACGAATTTCCTGCGATTTTTAGGTGCACTTAGAGCTGTAATGTAATGATGATGTAGGTACTAATAGCTATTTTGAAATCCTGAATAAGTGGAAAGTAAACAAGTTTTTGTGTCTGCTAAAGCACATATACATTCAGCAGAAATTTTTATAGCACCCTTTGACTTATGATTAGTCTGGAAATAGTTGAAAGTAGTAGAACTACCAAAGATAGTCAAATGCATCTGTCCCTATTGTAAAGGCTCACTGGAAAAGGGTGACCCCNGGGGGGGGGGGGGGGGGGGGATAGGTATCGAGTTGTCGCATCACACAAATTAGGTACATTGAATTTTCAAGTATGATTTAGAATTCATACAATTTTTTACCAAAAATACATCAAGGCGACTGTTTGTTTCTCAGATGTTCAGAATTTTTTGTGAATTCCCCAAGGAGGTAGTAGGTGACTGAATATTACTGATATTGGTTGAGGGATTGACGAACTGAGGGATACTGCTAAGGGAGAAGGCTCCCGTACTTACTGGGTCTGATACGATAAGACTCGGAAGCAAAGTGTAGATCATGAAGACATACTTCTTACTAAATAAAAAGATAATTGTTTAAAGTGATGATACTTGACATGTAAGAGGATATCGATCAATCTGTTTGGGATATCTTAATTCTGAGCAATCCAAGAAGATAGACAATATTTTGTTGGGCCTCAAAACAGAGGAGAAATGGATGCAGCTGTTTCACACAGAAATTGATGCGGCAAAATGAAGCTCATTTTAATTTATACATCAAGTTATGAAAATGGAGCAAGTACATACCCTTCACGAAAGATCTTCTTACACATCGACTGGAAAAATGGTGTTTCTAACAACTTCTAACGTAAAATCAAAGAGACTCGGAGAAAACAAAATTTGAGCCAATGCTCATAGTAGAGGATCTCTGACTTAGTGGCATTAAGTTGACCTATGATTGAACTGTACTGAAAAGTGATAAGACTGTACCTCGCTTCCTCAAGTAACAATTTCCACGAACTAATCAACGCGTAACCAGAATGGTAAGAGGTTATCAAGACTAATCATGCAGAAAACATGGCCTTCATGCCCCAACAATTTTGCCAAGAGTTGCTTGACGAATTGCACCTAGCTCACTTGGGCAGGACCAAAATGAAAGCAATTGCGCACTTTCTGATTTACTGACCCAAAATCGAACGAGACATTGAAAACATCGCAAAACACTGTAGCTCATGCCTAAAAAACTCAAAAATGCCTCTTGAGATAAACACATATGTGTGGGAATATCCCAGCGAACTATGGTTCAGAATCCATGTGGACTAAGCAGGCCCTGTCAGAGGTACTGATAACTAACTAAGCCACTGCAGAAGTCACTTCTCAACTCCTACTTGAACTTTTCTTGAGACATGGCATTCCTGACACTGTAATATTTAAGTGTTACTTCATAAGTATAGCCCTAAAATATTATACATAAATGGATATTGACAAGTATCCATATTTCTTCCAAACCCTATGCAGAGAGTAACATGAAAACCTAGCATTTCTAATATCCTTTGAGGAATTGCTTTTCTTCTAAAACTATTTAACTAAATTGAAATTGCTTGGTAAAAAGAGTTAGCCCTGATGGATACTGTGCAGCATGAATTGCAGAATTAATGGTGCTTTCTGAATTTTTAGTTAGGGTCCGTAAAAAATAACATTAAACGATCACTAAAATTTTAAAACAAATTTAGAAGAATAGAGGGATGAAGTATACCAACTCACCCAAGTTTTTTGGACCTAGTCTATCATCCAGAGAATTCTTTTCATGCCTAATTTTGGTTTCTGTAATTTGACGAAATTTTGGGTAGTAGTTATCAAAGACAACTGTGAAATTTAAGTTACTTGGCTCAGGATCTATGACTAGAGAATGGTTTCTTGAGTGTGGATTATGATTATTACTGATATTATTATTGATGTTGTTGTTACAATAATCAGAATTGTTGCGTGTTGTGACAGGTTTCTCAAATTTTTGGTAATAGCCATAATCTATTGAGCGATTCCTTTCGCTGCCGCTGCTTCCGCTAAATGAGCTCACTTCATTTTCAGTGACTTCAGCTGTAAAAGCAAGAGAAAAAAAAAGGTTCATTAGAAATTTTGATGCCAAAAAAAAACAAATTCAGTGTTTATACTTCACTACCTCAATTACACACGATTAAACTTTACATCTGCGGGACATGTTCATACCTAATGGGCATTCTTAGACATTCTTAATGGGTGCGTCTAAGTAAGATTTCATTTTGCTATGGTCGACTAAATTTTCGCAAAGCCGCAGTCGACTGCTTCATGCCCTAATTTATACAACATCCCCGGCAGAAACTTTATACTGAATTCAAATCTGTACTTAGTTCTTCGATTCTTTTTCTTCTTCGGACTTGTATTTTACAAAAAAGACTGAATTGTCATTACCACAATCGTGGCTGGACGAGGTCCTCATCTTCAATGGTTAATTTCAGGAATATATTTTTGACCTGATTAGCTGTTCAGATAGGAGATGGCTTCAACATACTTTGAAATTAATAGGTCTTACATTAAAAGCAAAAATTTCTGTTTCCTCTGGGCAAGAAGTGATAAGTTATGCTTGTGGTCGAATTTGGTGTCTTATCCGTAACCCCTTTCTTGCGAGTAAACTTTCACTGCTGAATGACAGTAACATCAGCATCACAGCATTCAATTTTCATTGTGTTTCAGGATGAAGATGTAAGCCAGGTGAGCCAATCTATGTGTTTTACTGGATTAAAACGCATTTGTTAGATTCATAGTGACAAATTAAACTTTGGGAGACTTCGAGCTGCATAACTGTTAACCAGTAAAAATCTAATACAATTTTAAATGATCATCAAAACCACTTGATTAATGAAAGCATGATCTAAAATTCCTCAAATGAGAGATTTCACTTCCCTCTACCAAAATCTAGTCTAATTATGACACAAAATCTGGAGAATGATCATTACCATGACTTCTGCCTATAAATCTACGAGTTATAGCGATGACGAAAAATTTATTGTAGAATACATCCATGCCATTGATTCATAACGACTCTGTAGGGTTTGGAGGTTCCAAAAAGTACAATATGTACACACGTCATCTACTGATTTTTACTTTCAGGGATGTTGAACTCGGAAAATGAAACCTCATTTGGACTGACCCTGATACATTAAGAGCTCCTTAAATGTTAAAATTCTCAGGACTCGAGAAAGCCTTGAGGTTTTAGGAATGCATACGAAAACGACCTATGGATCGGTTGTTTAACATTTGGCTGGTTTTTTACTTTGAACATCAAAATGTTATCAGACAGACAAAGAGAAAGAATAATAAATGCAGCTTCCTCATCATCCCTGTGCTTCTAAAAATGATCTGCAATTCCAGGATCACTTGATCTCACATTAATCGTATGCCTGCCATATATAGTAAGCCTTAGAGAGTAGTTACCAATAAGCGATGAACATGAAGCAATGGTAGAAACTGGAGGCATACCTCTAAGGTCTAAGAAGTTCTTCAGGCGGCCTCCAATTCCACCCTTGCCTTCAAAATGTAGATCTACTGAACTCATTAGAGTGTGATGATTAATTTGCCTGCTTTGCCTAGAAAGATGTTGCCTAACTAAAAAGTTTTTCGATAAAATACTTCATTACACCAAATTTAAACAAAATCACTTGGATTCATTCACGTTGGCAAAAGGACAAGCTACATGGTCTTGAGAATGGTATGGACGAGTAGCAAATAATGGTAGCGATGTCACTGGATGTAGCTGGTTATCTCGTCAATTCAGATAAGTCCCAGAAGTGCACTGACGACTATACTCGTCTGATGCTGTAGGAAATGCCTTGAAAAGATCTTGTTCTTTAAAAATTACTTCTTATAATCTTGCAAAATTGAAGCGTTCTAAAATATTGATAAAGTCTTTCCTTGGGTGTTTAGGATGTTGGCAAAGTTTCGGGGGCTGCTTTTCATTTTTCCCCAAAATTCCTCGAAAAATGATAACCAATTAGAAAAGCTTATCCTAGGACTCAAATTTTTGGGAGGATGGCTTCCTGCACTTCTGACAGACGGCCACCAAAAGATTCTGTAGGCCATCAGAGCTGAATAGGACAGACCTCTTGTGAGCAGAAATATTAGTTATTTCGACTCGTGAATCAATATGGTATTTGGACAAGTGTGCAGATGAGACAACTTTATGCAGAGAAAAATGAGAAAAAAGAGATACTCACGAATGGGACCCAGTCCTCGTTTGCCTTTTTCGCTCTTCACAGAAGAGGAAGCATCACTATCATCGATGTTTTCATCGTCCTCTTCGGCACTGTTTGAAGCTACGCTTGACAACACTTCCTCACATTCTTGTTTTAGACACAGCCACTCATTGATTTCGCATTGATACTCAGCTGGGATATGGGTATCTGCCAATTTCTGCAGCAGACCCTCTGCATTAGAGACAAGCTTCAGTAACTGAGTAGTGGTGAAGCTGAAAAAAGAGAATCAACTGAGGATTGGTTAACTTGGAAAAAAAAGCAAGCTTCTTTTTCTAGTTGTTAGCTAAAAGTAAGCTTAAAAGAGTCGTTTTTTCGAATAAACTCGGTAAAGAGACAAAATTCTCATACTTCACAGGGCGATGAAGCTGAGTGAGCCATCAAACTTTCCTTTCATTCCTAGTTCCATCAACATCTACGTTAGTAAACAAGTTGTCCACGTCCAGGGATGAAAGTTTGATGTTATACAGGGTTATCCAAAAGTCACCTACCACCTGTAACTTTTTTTCTAATTGAGCTAAAAGTTTGAAACTTTGGCAATGTTCCTCGGTCTAAAGTAGCAACTTTTTGATCCCCCAAAATATTGAGGGGCGGCCAGCCCCCCCCCCTCCTCCGAAGGGGGCGGGGGCTAACTTTTTTTTTTTCAAATGGCAACTCCCCTTTTGTGATACCTAATTCGAAAGATAATAAAAAAAGAAATTTTTTTGCGCAAACCGCAGGTCAAAATATTGATTTTTGACAAAATGTCGGCCAGTCAAAGTTCTAAATGGCGGAAATTTGACATCACCGTTTTTTATCGGCGGATTGGTCTAAAACTCAGAATCCAAAGGTTTTTCGGGACGAGAAAAACAACTTTGGCAGTACTTTTCCAGAAAAGGCAGTACTTTTCCAGAAAAGGCAGTCCTTTTCAAAATGGCGGCAGTTAAAATGGCGGCTTAGAGCGGGAAGTGGATATTTAGGCTGCTTATTGTTAGATTTGTATGAGACTTAGTATCCGGGGGTATTTCGGCACGAAAAGAACAAATCTTTCATTGGATTTTTGAAATTTCGAAAAACTTTAAAATGGGGACGAAAAAATGACGAGAAATCCATATCACCGGCTATAACACCGATTTTTCCATCGCCATTTTAACAGTATTTCATATTTCAAAAATCTAATGAAAGATTCATTTTTTTCGAGCCGAAAACCACCAGAGTATCGACTTTCGTGCAAATCCATCGGTAAACAGCCGTGATATGGATTTCCCGTCGTTCCTCCCCCCCCCCCATTTTAAAGTTTTCCGAAATTTCAAATTCTTTGAGTTTTCGCGGAAATATCTCAAAATAACGCAAAAGTTGAACGGGTTCGTGTAAGATACAGTAGCGGCTACCATTCTCGGTTGTTAGCGATCTCTATAGGCTTGACGGGGTCGCTACCGCTCCTAGTAATCCAATGAAAGATTCGTTCTTCTCGTGCCGAAATACCTCCGGATACCAAGTTTCATACAAATCTAACAATAAGCAGCCTAAATATCCACTTCCCGCTCTAGGCTGCCATTTCAACTGCCGCCATTTTGAAAAGGACAGCCTTTTCTGGAAAACTAATGCCAAGGTTTTTTTTCTCGTCCCGAAAAACCTGAAGATTCTGAGTTTTAGATCAATCCGCCAATAAAAAACGGAGATGCCAAATTTACGCAATTTTGAACTTTGACCAGCGACATTTTGTCAAAAATCAATATTTTGACCTGCGGTTTGCGCAAAAAAATTTCTTTTTTTATTATCTTTCGAATTAGGTATCACAAAAGGGGGGTTGCCATTTAAAAAAAAGGTAGCCCCCCCTCAAAATTTTGGGGGGATCAAAAAGTTGCTACTTTAGACCGAGGAACATTGCCAAAGTTTCAAACTTCTAGCTTAATTAGGAGAGAAGTTACAGGGGTGGTAGGTGACTTTTGGATAACCCTGTAGGTATAGTAGTTTTTAACTGCTCAGCTTATCAGTCAGTCCTACTGAGTTTTTCATTGTGTGCTGAGGTTTCTTACTCGTTTTCTTCCAGAATAAATCCGCGAGGAATTCTTCTACAGATTAAAGTGGATAATTACAAGCAGCCACAGCTGGTCTGATGGGTACATACATTGTTAATAGGTGTATAAGCTGTTCTTGAATAGGTCTATATGTATTCTTGCCGTATAGGTGACGTGAGGATAACATTCCTAAACCGAGGGATGTTTAAGAAAGAACAGTGTATATCAGAACCACTTACTCTACAAACAAAGGTACAATATCTAAGCTTAATTTTACCAATTCTTCCTAGACCTGGGACGAATGTACAGAGAATTTAATTTCTACACAGCTCAGGATGTTTGCTACTACTGTAGTCTATTTGGCAAGATTGCCAAGAATAGATGCACTTAGAATGACGCACATTGCCCTATTCAAATACATCATGTCCTAGGGAGTAGGAACAAACGAAGGATCAGATATGGGGGCTGTAGGGAACCTTCAGAAATTGCAAAGGTGTCATAAACAGTGAAGGTGTAAAAGTCATACTTCATTTAACCAGAAAGTGGTCATTGTAGGAGTTGAACCCTCTATTAAAAACTCTCTCAGTAAAGCAACTACAAATGAAAAAACACTAAGAAGTGGCCCGAACTATATATAACAAGGTGGAGAAATGGTGCTGGGTCCACACCATTTTGCGGGGAAAACAAAGCCAAGAAGTTCCAAAAATTAAAATTAGAGTCAAAATTATTTTTTGAACTCTAATGCGTACCAGTACGAAACTGAGGGGGGAGAGTGTTCAGCTCAGGCAGTTTGCATTGGATCATTAAGTTGGAGTCACGCCGAGAGATCTATACCGGTTTGGGCCTTTTTAGACCTCATCAGCAGATCACACTCAGCAGTGAACCCAACTTAACATGCCGCAAAATCCAAGACGGCATTAAAATGCCGTCATGGATATGACCCGAGGCATGACACAAAAGTGTGATCCTCGCGCCATCTACTGTCGCTGCTGAACAACTCTCATAACAAAACAAGGAAAACCCGAAAAAATAATTATCAGGCTGGTTGGAGATGCGAACGCATCTAGACACAACCGCCCGCTCCCGAACGAGAGAAACACATATCCCCAAACTGTGCCCACAAATGAAAAAACACTAAGAAGTGGCCCGAACTGTACATAACAAGGTGGTTTCCTTGTTTTGTTATGAGAGTTGTTCAGCAGCGACGGTAGATGGCGCGAGGATCACACTTTTGTGTCATGCCTCGGGTCATATCCTTGACGGCGTCTTAATGCCGTCTTGGATTTTGCGGCATGTTAAGTTGGGTTCACTGCCGAGTGTTATCTGCTGATGAGGTCTAAAAAGGCCCAAACCGGTATAGATCTCTCGGCGTGACTCCAACTTAATAATCCAATACAAACTGCCTGAGCTGAACACTCTCCCCCCTCAGTTTCGTACTGGTGCGTATTAGAGTTCAAAAAATAATTTTGACTCTAATTTTAATTTTTTGGAACTTCTTGGCTTTGTTTTCCCCGCGAAGTGGTGTGGACCCAGCACCATTTCTCCACCTTGTTATAAAACAACTGCAGAGGTTGACTTTAATGTGATTATATTAGTCATTTACCTTACCTCGAGTTACCATTACCATTACCACCTCATCTTACCATTAGTCGAACTCCCTGGTTTTGTGATGAAGTCAAAGATGCTGCAAGGTCTAGGAAGGAAGCATTTTTACAGTATAAATCTAATCCCACTCCAGAAGAATATGAAAAGTACAAAAGGGTCCGCAACTTGATGAACCAGAACATAGGGAAAATTAAAGAAGGTTATTGGGAAAGTTACACCAAAGGAATGGAGCATGACTTTTATGGTGCGCAACGGAAAAAGTGGAATGCTCTTCGAAATCAGCGGAAAGGAATTGTGAATTTAGGCAGGCCCATCACATTCGGAAAGAAGAATGGCATACTTATTTTACTGAGCTGTACAAAGCTGCAGATGACGACATCCAAGAGAGGATTGATTACCAGAACGAAGATAATGTGACCGTGTCATTGGAGATGGTGACCAAAGCCATTCACAGATTGACGCTCAGAAAATCCCCTGGACCAGATGGCATCGGAAATGAATTCGTTAAATATGGTGGAAAAGTCCTAGCTGAGTGGATGCATCGTCTGTTCCAGAAAATTTTGGAAGAAAAAAAAATGCCGGAAGACTGGAAGGATAGTTTCACAATTCCCATCTTCAAGAAAGGTGACAAATTTGTACCTGAAAATTATCGCGGTATTACGCTCCTAAACACGTGCTCCAAGCTATTTACGTCCGTTCTCAAAGATATTTTGGAGCAGATTGTGCATATGGCCGAGGAACAGCAAGTGTATAGAAAAAACAGAGGCACCAACGATGCCATATTCATGGTACGACAATTGGCAGAGAAATCCATCGAGTTCAACAAGCCTTTATTATTATTATGTTTGGTGGATTTGGAGAGAGCATTCGACCACATACGAAGAACGTATGTTTTGCGGATACTTAACGAGCAGAATGTCCCCAGGTGTCTTATCGGGATAGTTGCCGCTTGAACTCGAACACCAAGACAGCCAAGACACAGATAGTCACCAGGGAGGGAACCTCTGATGTAGTCATTGTAAACAGAGGATTAAGACACGGAACGTATAATGATTTGGTCATGTGCGGTCTATTTGGGGGTCTAAAACTCGCCTAAATATGAGTCTGAAGGTCGATTTTAGCGAAAAATTCGGTTTTTGGCATTCAACATGCTGTTCCTTAACGATCCCATCATTGGAAGAGCAAACTTTCTTTCATTACGAATGTGAGATAGTCACTTTGGTCAATTTTCGTCGATGGCAAACCTTGCACTCATACTTAAAAATAACTTTTTAGAATTTCTTTGTTTTTTCATCATTATTTAATATGGCATAAAAAGGGCGACTATCTGAAACCAGAAATAGATTCCTTCGCGGAAAGTGAACGTGACTTATCAAAACCATTTTCCAACAAGCTTTTTGGATTAAAAGCTCCCCCCCCCCGCCAAAAAAAGCCGATGTTGCCAAATTTTATTTCCTAAAATCACTCCAGTGATTATTTCAGTATTTGGAGACTGCTATTCGTCGAGCTCTTTCACCCAAGTTCAAAACCCGTGATTTTTCATTTGTTATACGGTCACATAACTAGTGATTATATACGTATTTTTATCCATTACTAGCAGGAAACCCGTG